TCCCCCCCCCCCCCCCCCCAACGTCTCGCTCCTCTTTCGACACACGTCGAAGAAAAATTTGCAACACCGTCCCGTCGCGCTCAAACATTATACCGAAAGCTCAAACGTCCGTAAGTTCGTTTTCGAACGAATTTTTAATTAAAAAGGTAAGAAAAAAAATTCGGCGATCGATGAAGCCGATTTGATCGAGGAAATTCGTAATCAGTGTGATTGCAAACCTTTCATCAACGTGTGTGTGTGTGTATCAGTCATTTGTACCTTTTCTTCCTATTATATTCTTGGTCTCTCGGATCTGCGCCTCCCTTTCCTACCCTACCCTTTTCCCCTTCTATCTTCTTTTTTTTATCGAACTTTAATTTCGACTCCTTGTTTCCGGTCTTTCTTTCCTTTCACCGTTGTCATTCGTTTTCCGAAAGGTTCGAAAGCTTTTTTTCCGACAGTGCAGTTACTTACGGGGACACTACGAGTAATGAATGCGATCGCGCGATTAAACACATTCGGACGAAAAGGGAGCAAGACCCGCCGGACTTCAATACGTTCGCGTTTGCGAATTAAGTGCGATCGTCGTTGTTGTCGTCGTCGTCGCCGTCGTTTTATTATCCTTTGTACCTTCCTGGACCAGAAACGACAGCGACCACGGCGATCATCGATCATTCGCGAAACGGCGGGTTGCTTGAGAGTTGATATCTTTCTATTACACGTATAAACGATCGTTTGGCTCGAAACGTACAATAGATGTATTTAGCAAAGAAAAGGAGAAAAAGAAAAAAAATTTGCAGAGGAACTTCTGACCATGCCGATCGATGGAATGAAATAGTTAAGGCGTCAACCGGTTTTATCACGAGAAATTATTCTTACTATTACTACTTCTCTTATTGTTATTACAATTATATTCTTATCCTTATGATTATTCTAACATAAAGTCTCTTATGTTTACAATTGCATTATTATATACATCTTTAATTCTAGTGTAGATAATACGGATGATGATAATGATGATGATAAACAAAAAAAATGGAGAATTAATCACATGTGCATTTAATGTATTTCATACTAATTTTTTGATTAAACATAATTGTGTGTTAACCGAGCCGTCTACCTTTCTTTTTTCTTCCAGATCATTTTTTCTCCCTTTTCGACGTTCGCATGGTATTCGCCGACAGTATATCTGCGCTCTCGCTCATTTCCCTAAAAATTTGCAATTTTCGCTCACAAATCGAGATGCTTTATTTTTGCATTTCTGCAGAAGCGACGAGGATCGTAAATGTGCACGAGACAACGCATCGTCGAAACACCTTGGGAAAGTCGTAACTTTCATTCGAGTTTATCAGTGCCAAATGTTATTATAGATATTAAGCGGCCGTATATTTCAGGAATATTTTCGTGTTCGCAGGGGATAATTTAATCCCCGTGTGTTCGCCTCGGTCACGACAGCTGCTCGATCGTAGCCTTTAACGAAGCGTCTGAGGGATCACATTCAGTTCAACACCGAGGACTACGACGACACCTTATCGTTTAAACTGCGCTGAATTATTTCGACGATCAACTCGTGCGATAACGCTATTATTAGCGCGAAATAATGCAGCGGCAGCCGCAACGTTAGCATGCATTACCATGACGAATATTCTCGTCGTTCTGCGATCGGGTCTGTTTTCACCGTACGATATGTAATAATAACTTTCTATTCCAAGATATTCGTGCGACGTTTTATAGCTGCGATCACATGGCGGAGATATGAGAAAGTGAAGCTATATTTGAGACGAATTTTGGAGGGTCGGATACATGATGTGTAGCTGCATAACTTAGACCGCGAGAATCTTAAAGTGTCGAAATTATCTTCCTGCATTGAGAGAAGTGTTGGATATGAACAACCGTATGACTTGTGTGTTATTGATATGTAAATTATCAAAATTTTGTTGTGTTTCAATTAAAAAAGATATATTGTTCTAATCAAAATTTGATTCTAATTAAAATAACAAAATTTTAATTAGACCAACACAATTTGTAAATTGAAACATAATAAAATTTTATTAATTTAAATATATATTATGACAAAATTATGATTGTCCATTCCAAACACTCCTGAATTTTGAATCCCTAAATTTTAATATCCTTCTGACCTTCGGTGATTGATTGGGTCCGAAGACTCGTGGATTCATAATCTGTGCCTCTCTGAATCCTTCGAAGAGGACGTTCAATTTGGCAGCTGAACAAAAGTCAAATTGCTACGGTGAAATGTCGTTGAAAGAAAGCGAACAGGTGTCGGATCGCTTGGACTTCCGAGTCACGTGTGCGCGGTCTTATCAGGATTCCGATTTCATGTCAACACGTTCGATGTTTGCGTTTGAGTTTGTTGTATTGCGATGCGTCTCGCGATACATATCGAGCATACGCTTTTCGACGCCAGGAGATCGTCTTGGTTTTGCGAGAGATCATTTGCAGATTTTTACGGCGCCCGAAGTTAGCTTCCTGCTCGACTCGAGAGAGACGTATTCGAGGATTCAATCGATATGAATACTCGAGAATGTGTACGTTTTTCTGCGCGAAACGTGTTCTCGATGAGGAGACGCTCCTTCAGATAGTGCGAGGAAGTCGTACGGATCCGAATCTGGGACAGAGAATCTGAGACTGTTTATTTCGTCCTCCAAGTTCTGCAGAGATTGAGTTTAGATGATATCTCATTGTGTTTTGCGAATGGCGCGGCGGCGTTAAAAAAAACTCAATTTTATTAAATATTTATTTGAATATAATTGTAAGTAGATATTTACTAAATTTAAACATATAATATAAATATTGTATTTGATACAGAAACTATTGATTTGGTAACTATTATTTTTTTATTAATTAAATATTTATTCATTTTTTAAGTAAAGATTTACGATAATAACTTTTTTTTAGTGCACAATGACGAAGAGACATTTTTCGTTTTTTTAGATCTCTTTGAAGGGAATATTTGTAATCCTATAGAACTAAATGCGCTGAGGTTCGTTGATTTCTAAGGGAAAAAGAAAGAGAAAGAGAGAGCCTATTTGGCGCATTCAAGTCCTCTCTGTTTTCAAGTTTTCCGAATATTTGAAATTTCCGACATGCTGGTGTCTTTGTCTTCGATTATTCCAGCATCCCTTTGATCTCGCATCCCTCGTACGCATATAGTTTGATATCACCACAAACCGCACAGTCTGGGTCTACTATACTATTAGTCGGTCACGCAATCGGATTCTCTCAAAGGTTGTCACGCATCCTTACATACGCACACGCACACGCCTACAGGGGAGCCTACTGATAAGCGAAAGGAATAATAACAATCCGGCAGACTGTGAGAGTTGAATCTCGGTATCAAGAGGGAGTTTTGCGAGAGATTAAAAAAAAAAAAAAATACAAGCAGAGAGATAGAATAGATTAGAAAAACAGAGGCGGAAATAGAGCGATGATACGCGACCGCGGGGAGAGGCCCGGGCTAATTCGAGGTGCTTTGCTGACGCTGTGGTTTCTGTTGTTGCAGAGCTGAAAAATTGGCGGATATCACAGATATTTGAGAGACAGAGTAACAGCGACGAGAGGAGGCGGTGCTCGTTGTGCGGTAAGGTCGTGACGAACGTGCGCAATCACTATTACGTGCATTTCCCCGGGAAATACGCCTGCCCGCTCTGCCCGGCGGTGTACACGCGCAGCGACACTCTGCTCACGCACACGCGTATGAAGCACGCGCACGCGCAATAGTATCGCACACACGCGTCGCGATACTTTGAGCGTGCCGCGTACTTTAAGCTGCGGATCTAGAAACCGTGCGAACGTCTTCCTCCTCTTTCCATCTCTCCCGGCGTGACCTCCTCGCCTTCGTCGTACGAGGCAATCTCGAGGTCTTCCCGTACTTGCCCGTCTCTCGTTATTCCATTAGATAAGCTGCACAAACTAGTATCTATTAAAAAGCGGAAGTATAGTGGAATCTCTCAGAGAGGGACGAAGGACCGATCGAGGCAACGAGTCCGTTCGAGATCATGGAATCTGTGAAAGATGTAGATCTAACAGGAAGAAGCTAGCTGGGTCCTGCACGTTTTTATTCGAGGGTACGTCAGAAATACATCCCGAGGAACGTTTGAAGAGAAGCGCAACACTCGGAAAAATCTTGTACCGTTCCTTTCCTTATACGAGCGTTCGATATAGTCAACGTTGCATTTAGTACTACTTAAAGGTCTCGCCAGGCGTCTCGAGTAATTGCGAGAACTGTGTAATTCCACCGTGTAAATATTATCCCCCCCCCCCCCCCCTCTCTCTCTCTCTCTCTCTCTCTCTCTCTCTCTTTCTCTTCTCATTCCTTTTCTTCGATAGTCGTGGACACTCGTAGATGCCTGATGAACTCGAACTCTTGCTTCAAATCTGCGCCGACTATGTTTGCGATCTCACGCTTTTGAGTCTCCTCGGACTCACACAAGCGTGAATTAACCTGGGGGATGTAATGCCCCCCGAATAGCAAGGACAGGGCGAAGAAAAAGTTATTACGAGCAAATAGTGGCACTGATATTGTAAATCTTCCCTTTCGTGATCGCGATTAATCTTTTATAATATAAATAAAAGACGGACGAAAATAAAGGCGAAGACCGAATCCTCTTTATAAATGTTAAATGTTGTTAAATTGAATTTAACTGGTTTTAAGAGATAGAACTCACTAGTTGCGGAAATATTTCCGTTAGGCTTAATTAATTATTTGCACAATTATAGGTAAATCTGCAATTGATACGCAGCTATTAACTCTCTATGTGTATTGACAAATTAATATGTAGAGAGCTAATATGCAAAAGTAATTACTGCGTTTGGTGTATACAGCGATAATGTTTTATTGGCCATTAATTATAATTTTTTTCTCGCCGAAAATAATTTCAGTAGATTAATTGGAAAGGAATGCGCTCGATGTTAAACTCGATTTAATGTGTCCAGAAACTGTAAGGAGATACAACACAGTCCTTTAAATCTCGAGCTTTGACAGAAAACATTACTAAGTGCATTTATTTTATCGAATGCTCGGTACATTTATGGATCAATTGATTGCAAGACTCAAGATTCCGCAGATGCGTGAGTAAGTTAGACGCACATATACAGATCCATAGATCCGCAGCTTTGAAAGAATCGTACGTGGACAATGCAACATCGGAAACACGTGTTTTTCCGTCAAAATGCCAAAAGTAGCTGCCAAAGAGAGCGTGTTACGTGCATAAGCGAGCATGCACTGACATCTAAGTACCAAAAAAAAATAATCTAATTTCACTTTTCCACTTTTTTTTTTGTACCTTCAATCCCCTCGATCAGGCGATCTTTCATTCCGAGTCCTTTTCTACGAGACAGAAGGATTCGCATCATTCCTTCGTGGGAGGAGCGCGAACGGTACCGTTTGTTTGACGATTGAAGAGCAAGAGTTTGGATGAAATATCTTAATTTAAGGAGCCGTAAGATCTCTCTCTTGCTTTTCAAAGATTGTTACGGCTAATCGTTCGCGACGCGATTCAGCTTTAGGACGTACGATTTTGGCTGTACTAATGGCCAATTATAAAGGTAAGAAGATATCGATGAGAGGTTTTTAAGAAATGTAGACATTTTATGAGACTATGGTTATTAAAAGATGTAATATATATATACATATATTGTATGTACAAAATAAAACGGAGCTGGTATCTCACACAATAATTTCCAAGACTTTGAGTGGCACACACGTCGTTGTTAATCCCGTTCTGCGACGTGATTATTCTGTAGATTTCGTGCGCAGTGCGGATTATTGGATGCTTTGTTTGCAGGTGAACCGTTTCGATAATCGATACGCGGCGTACCTTTGGGGGGTGAACTGGTATTTGACGACACCGCAACGTCTTAATTAAATATCCCGATTATGTCGAAGCGCAGTGAGCTCAGGAGTACGCATCGCGTGATGTCGATAGTTAATTTAAATGCATCCTGGTGAAGAACTGACGCTTCTCTAATCGCATGGATCTCAGACGCGGATAATACCTGCTTTAAAATGTTTGCCAATCTGTTTAGATCGCGAAGAAGTAAGTTTGTTTGGTATCTTCTTTAATTTTGTTTTATTATTTATCACCTTTTTAAACACGATTTGCCTTCAATTTGCAAGAATTGTGTATCGAACAAAAAGTCGCACGTGATGAAATATAATACAAAGTTTAATATTTGAAAATTATTAAAGCTAAAAGAATTAGTATTTACAAACATTATTCTCATAATATATTATAAAATAATGTAATTATAATGTCATTTAGTCCAAAAAGTTATTCGCATAATACAATATAAATTCTATCATTTAAATGTGTCGTTATATATTTGTGTCGTGACTTTGATCACTCCGTGTATGGCATGTATGAAACAGTATGTAACTTTCACCGATGACGATCTAGAACCTAACACAAACATACGAAGTTACTGCGTCTTCTACCATGGATTATTGGAGGCGACACGAGCTCCGTTCCAGATAATCCTGCAATAACATGGGCAAATGTTCGGTTAAGTATTTTTCTCTCCATACTCGCCGCGTTACCGCTGATGTCACTGAAACGTGAGTTTATCTCGGAGGATCCTGAGAGCAACCGAAAAGTTCCCAGGAAGATCCGATGAGTCGAGCGATTTCAGCTTTAGCGTATATGATTCGCGAGTACGAGATGCATATATTTTAGAAGTCAAGGATCCAGGAATCCTGAAATACTCAGGAGTCTCTGGATGTGGAGAGATGCGCTATTTTCACTCCACGGCGTGTGTTCTTCGCATTTCCATGGCAGCATCAAGAACGTGAGTATATATCCCGTGACGCTTATGGAATATCTGTGTTTGTGGAGACTGCGAAAGAGAAGGTGAATGGTGATCGTGCGTGTGGATGCGTTCACACATGACCGGACACACTCGATCGTTTCGACTCACTGCCTGCACTTGTGACGTCTCTCTTCCACGTTGTCCGCATGCTCAAAAATTTCTTCAAAGGCAGATTCGAACGACTGTATATTCGCTTGAAAGAGTTACAGATTTACCTGAACGCTTAGTTTCTAAGAAAAATTAATTTACAATTGGAAATCAAAATTTGAATCGCTCTTTAAGTGAATTATCTTAATCTTATACTTTATCAGCTGTTTAGTTATAATATTTGTATTTTTCGTCGTTCTTTGCAACTATCTTTGTTTCTCTAAGACTTGTGTGTGTTGGTAATATTGGAATTTACACAAGAGAACGTGACCGTAGTCAGTAAATTCATTAGACTCCTCAAGGACACTGACACCTGAACATTGCACCAAACAAAACCCACACAACCACCCACCGCACCGAAGGGTCCAAGAGTTTCGAGGTCTCGCAGATTATAGACAATTTTTGGATTTGATGCTAAAATTCGAAATCAAAGGATCGAGAGGATCCTATACAAGTCAAGGAGTTTAGGAACCAAGACGAATTGTCGACAAGTCTTGAAGATCCCGGGCTTGAAAAATTTTTGGATCTTAAGAATCTTGGATCTTAGAGATTCAGCGAGCACTGGATCGCCCGAATTCAGAACTGAACTGTCAAGAATTCCTAGGCTAACACGGTGGATTCCTAGGCTCGCAGAATCTTCAGGATCTAAGCGCTTCGCGGCTAAACACACGACTGGCGCTGGTTGTGCACGAAGGGCATGTAGATGCTGTTGGGTTTTGCAGGTTCGATGCCGAGCGTGCCGGTCGGCCTCTCTTATCACGAGATGTTCGCCGTGTCGCTTAACAGCCCGGCGTTATGGAGATGCCGCGCCTGCGGGAAGCAGGTGACCAATCGTTGGCACCACTTCCACATACACACCGCGCAGCGCTCGCTGTGCCCCTATTGCCCGGCCACCTACAGCAGGATCGACACTCTGCGCTCGCACATACGCACCAAGCACAGGGAGATGCTGTTCGCCGGGAAGGGGTCCTTGTAGAGGACGGTGATTGCCCCGCGGAGGAAGCGGCCGCCGCCACTTCCGCCGTCGCGTCTGCTGTACGAGCGCCCGGTTGCGCCCTTCTTCGGCTTCGGGCTGCCCTGACCCCCGTCCTTCGAGTCGCCGGGATACCGGGGACCCAAATGGTGAGGCGCCCTCGAGAGGAGAGCGTGAGTTCGGACAGGTCAAGTGCTTCGCGCGCGCGCGCGCGCGCGCTATGATCCTAGAATTGAAAGGAAGCTCCGAAGATTCGTAGATGCTGGAATCCGAATGATCGAGAAAATCCGAGAAAGGAGTTTCGGAATGACAGTCCGTTCAATCGGATTCTAACATCGGAGAATCCGGAAGTCTGGCAGATTCTAGGCTCGAGCATCGTTCTTCCCAGCCCGGGGAGTGTCGGAAAGAGTGCTGCTCTCGAATTTCCAGCGATCGGCGTGACGGTGTAAATGATTCGCGGGGCGAATCCGTTCGACCAATGGCCTCATTAGAGATAATTATTTGTCGGTTGATCCGTTCGCCACCACGTCTTCGGACGAGCCGCCCGGCCGCTTCTAGGCAGGAAAGTGTGGTGGGTGGGAAGGATGGTAGGAGAAGGACGGTTATCGATCATACCGCGCCCTCGAAACTTTCGTCACATCTCGTGAGAGCGGACGGGCGGGCGGCGGGCGGGCGGAGAAATAAATAGGGCAAGGGGATCTATCGACGACGTGCTCACACGCTGACAGTCGGGCGGTATGGCTGGCACGAAGTCAGAATTTTGCGAGGACAATTGCGGACCGCAAGAAACGAGAATGAGGCTCTAAATATTGTAATGACATCACGTACGCAAACGTCTCCTCTTTCTGATACATTTCCTAAACTTCTTTATATGAAGACTCGCTACATTTTTTAAGTTCGGTGTACATTTATTTGAGAGAAGACGACTTTTCTTTCTTTTTACTTCTTTATTCGAGCATACATTTTTACACAGGCACATTTCTTTCGCAGATCACGTATGTAGTTATAGTAAAATCGAGAAATTGGAAATTCGATTC